CATACATACATACATACATACATACATATATGTATTCTTTTCATTAAATTAACTGAAAACAGAATAGAAATATTTCTATAACGTTCCTCGCTTAGGTAATTTGTACTGATCACACGTGCTGAGGAAGAAAATGAATACTACATTTGCCGCAGAAGTGCACATTGCAAATTATCATTCTGAAGTACCATTTCCAACGGTCATAAATCTGAGATACTCTGCTACTGAAGCACTGTTAGGCTCACGTGACGATGACAAAACAACAACAACAACAAGTAGCATACATGATATAATAAAATATCCAGCGCTACTTTCTACAGCTTACAAAATAAAATGATTTTATGATAGCCTAAAACGCAAGGTCAAAAATATTATAGCATAGCTTACCAGCCAGCTATCGCTCAGCATCTCACATCATGTAATATATGCTTTCTTTTGAAAATTAATGAGGTTTTAACAGTATCATTAGTCCAAATTTTGAGATGCTACCGTTAAAAAGTAGTTCTTATCTGTAGAAATATGCTTAAACAAATGACAAAACCCAAATCTGTATTCGCCGTTTTAACCGCAGCATAATTCCTGAATAAGAATATCTCCACATTAATAAGAGAAGGGAAAAATTCAAAAAGACTGTAAAAATTACCCTATTGGTTCTTTCTTGGTAAAAGTTAAATTTTTATTTGGTCGAGCACTGCTGATCGGTATAGTGGATCCTTGAATTTTATCGCACCATCCCGCAAAATACCGCCACGTGTTAATCGACATGCCGATATGAGTCTTTAAAGCCAATGTGTACACTGCTCCAGAGTCAATAGATTCGATCGTCGCTAATTCCTCTTTATGTTCTTCTAGTACATCGGCGAGTCGATAAAGAATGCGACCTCTATCGCTGGCACTCATGTTCGACCACGAGCCGGCTTCAAAAGCTTTCTGAAACAACGCAAACAGCACTGAAAAAAGTGGCATTTATTCTGCATTAAAAGAGCAATACCAGCATTACCTTTTACATTCCTTAAGGCTAAGCCTATCTAAGAGTAGTTCATTTGCAAAACCCGAATGAATGATGGAAATGAGCACCAACGAAGAATGCGTAGTGACATGTGCAGGTGAAACTGTTCTGACTCAAACTTAAATTTAAATTTAATTCAATTCAATTAAATTTATATATTGGTTTCGATTTGTTTGAAAGCATGAAAGTGGAACACAAGCAAAACGAAATGAAAGTTAGGCAATTACTTTAAGGACCAATAAAGCAAGACAAACTTATATCGTCCGAGAAACATCGACGGTTAAGATGTGATACACTGCCGTAACAGGATGCTCAAAGCTGCATGCTACAATCTGCTTCATTTGCCTGTATTCAGCAGCCACATATTTTGTGCAGGTCATAACAATTCTTTCACTCTTCTCCCGTTCCGACAATCCTTTTCCCCAAAGGGGCATTTTAAGAACTAAGCTGCTGCCATAGTTACTATTCCAGATTATGTCAAACCTGTTAACTGTAACTATTAATAGACAATTTCATAAAACAATGACACTCGGTAAATACGCCAAAACATTTGATTCCGGACCCGTTAATGAAATCAAAGATTTGTCATCGATCCACGATTGAGGGTACCAAACCACACGGGCTTTGACAAGTTTAATACCGACACTTTTTGCTGCACACTGCAAAGCAGCGAGGGTACAACTGATTGCAAGTCTGCTGGACGCCTTTTTGATATAAACGAAATGCTTCGATAGAAATTGAGTGGCTAAATGACACTAGACTTTAACAATCAAATTCATAACTTTGAACTTTAGAGTTCAATTCCTGTCACTCATTTCATAGTCGATCAAGTTTTCTTATCAAGTTCGCGAGATCGCCCCAACTTTCACTTATCACCATGTGTGATGAGTATTCATTACACATATGATGTTTCATCATTAATGCATGTAAGGACTGGTTTATCAGTGGGCCGGTCTGTCACAATCGACACACTGGTCTGAATGTCAGAAAAATGTATTATGCAATACGGCAGTGATCAGAATGCCACAATCTGACTGCATACATACTGAATTTTCGGTAGATCTTTTCAACGTATATCGTATATCATAGGAAACCGATTCACTCGAACTGATACTCACATCCGTGGTCTTGTGTCCCGTGCGTTCTTTATAGAATCATCCGGAGGAGCATAACTTCACGTGCGCAGGAAATATGCAAACCGTTTTCGTCGTAGGCGATTAAATTCGGCATCTTTAGCACACATTCTTGAAAAACGGATACTCAATAAGAACACTGGACGGTGAACCATTGCACCCCAGCCACGACTTGATGAATTCGTTTGATAGCAGACCTATGGTGATTTTGCCATACATATCCCAGATATCCGAGCCAATCAGGAAATATCTCAAAAGTCATGGGTCAATTAAAAAACCGGTATGAGTTTAGGGATATTTCTATTCAAAAAGTATATCCCCAGCAATTCAGAAGAGACTTTGAATATGGTTTGTAGCGGCGAGCGTAGTAACTGCAATAAGATATGCTGGAAGCAAAACCTAAATTTGAACATCCGGCTTAAAGAACACTTACCTACAGTCCGCCTGGGGCATATTGATCACTGTGAATGGCTAAAACCTGGTGTCAAGCAGCCACTACTCATTTGATATACGGCGGCTAACTACCCGATAGTCAGTTGTACCTAGACGAAGCTTCAGATTGCATAACAAAATGCGGTGATACTAAAAACGTCAACGTCTGTGCCCTAAACCATGAATCGGCAAAGCATCTGAAATTAACCCTGATATTCTGAGTTTACTAATAAACTGCTAGTTTCAATGTGCAGGTAAGAATAACAATCTTCTATCATTTTCCTTAGGCGACTAGAAGAAAGGTGAAGGTGCGACTTGCAGTTTGTTAATAACGCCAAAATACCGAGGTTAATTCTTACTGTATATACCTACGGATCTAGATTAAGCGGATGGTGTTCGAGTGAACAAAGTAATACAGTTTGCCATTCATGCACCGCAGATGCCATAATACCATGGAGCCTTGGGTATGCTTAAAATGGTCTCATAAGCTGCTAGAAGTAGTGATACGGCGACTACGCGGCGTAATCTGAATAGTTAAACATAAATTTAAGAATGTAACTAGAATAAGATGCAGAGTAAGTTTATATAGTCAGAACCATATCGAAGAACCCATGCATGTATCTGGCACTGAGTACAGCACGGAACTACTCTCAAACTGAACTCTTACTTCTGCAAGCACTAGGCAACTATTATATCAACATAGGTAAGCTCAACCCAGCGCTTAACTGAAAGAGAAGGAAGAGAACTAATAACAGGATTCGATTACAACCGTGAGCGATAAAATTTAGCCGCGATGAGCTGGCCAATAATCTGTCCTGTTCTAAAGAGATATTTTTGATGTTTTTGGGTAGCTACCACATAGCAGTTTTCCAACTCTGCTGGCAACTATAATATTTTATTGGTATTTCTGATTTATTTCGGATTTACTCGGCGTAAGCACACAACCTCATCGCTTACAGTTGCCTACGAGGACCATGCAAGCAGGCCACAGTTACATGGTATTGGAGTGTCATAAATTATTCCCCATCAAAAATAAAATGTTTCTATCTCAAAACACTTTGAAAGACCGCGACTTCTAGCATGGTCTCTTCCCTTGGAGAGGCTTGGCAAATCTCACTGACAATGGCAATGACAAAGGTAATTCACAGCTTAGGGGAGGCCAAAATAATAACCCTGTCTAACCATTGTTGCAAGCATAATTCGTCCTGCCGTGCGATTCCTGCTATACTTTGGTAGCTGCTTACGTTTCGCATTTGGGTCACTTGCGTTAATTATTTGCATTTTTTAACCTTACTAGAAAGTAGCATAAAGAAGTACATCATTTTTTATCACTACGTACTGACCAAAGCCAGAAAACAATGTCTACGTGGGCACAATGTAAAAGCACCCAACGAGTAAAGGTTAATAAGTGTCATAATCGAACGGGGAACAGTCTACCTTCGCAGCTTCGACGGCGGCATTAACGTCAGCAATTCCTGCTTTAGAGACTGAGCATATCACAGATTCATTGGCTGGATTGATCGTTTCGTAGGTTTCACCAGAGACGCTGTCGACGAACTGACCGTCGATGAATAACTGATGGGGAAAACTGACCTCCATTCCGTTGGCTGTGAGTTTCACCAAATCGATGGCAGCCATCTTCTGATCACTGCTTTGATCGCGCATCTTCAGAATGACAGCGTTGACGAACTGGCCGAACTTTGGATTGAGATAAACGATTTCAGGTTCCAGTTCAACGCCACACATATGATGAAGTTCTTCCAATAATCTACAAAACTTCGGTGTGCAATCAACGACGTAGTAAATTAAAATTTTCGTTCCATGTTTTTTTAGAAAATAATATCACAGGACACCGGCATGTTGTCAGGTCGGGAGCGACCATCGGTCATTCAAAAGGCGATGCTTAAAACAGATGACTGGATGTCATTCGCACAATTAACAGTCAACAGACAATGTAATTCAATTAACACTCAGCTCTGCAGCGGAATATTGAAGGCACAACGGGATGCAATTTATCTGCGAGGCTCAATAGCATGTTTGGAAGATCAGTCATTGCCGCAGAAGCGAGCGCGTGACGATAAAAAGCGACATATGGTTTCTATATGTACAGTGACTGCTATTTCATAATTAATATAATTCTACCGCATTCGTGCAGCTGCGCATACGACAGCGAAGCTGTAAATCAGTTGGGAAGCGAAACCGGTTTGGAAGTTCACAGGGAGCCTGAACATCTATACTACAAGTACAACAGAAATCGAACAATGATTAAAATTAAAATTAAATAATTTATTCTAATTCAAAGTGCATTTCGTACACGGCAATGGAAAGGTAATCAAAACAGGCAGTACGTTATCCCCCATAACCATTTACGGGGAACTGCATTGGTTGCTGAAATACATTTGTTCTGAAAGTTTTACCGAATGACCAATCCAAGTACATGGCTGGATTTTTTGCAAAGATTCGAATCGAATCGTCAAGTACATGTACAGTATCTTCGCTTTTGAAAAAAAACTTGAGTCTTAAATATTGATAAGAAGGCTCAAATGCGGTGAGCAATGAAGCTCCGTTTATTAAAAGGATGGAACAATTACCATGATGATTATCAGATCATGTATGTCATGTCGTCATTGGCATAGGCGAATGGTGGGGTGTTCCTGTCTAAATATCACGAACTGGCAGAAGATTACAA